ATTTAATACTTTTTATTTGGTATTGTAAGTGGCCATACCTTATGTAAACAGAACTTAATAGCTTTCAAAGGACCAATATAACTCTATTAAGTTGCACACCACACACACACACACACACACACACACACACACACACACACACACACACACACACACACACACACACACACACAAAGCCTAAAATGAAAATAAAGATCAATAACATAAATAATGTGAGTTGCACATGATGATTAACTTTTAGGTTTCAGTTATTTAAATTCTCAGGTCATCATTGTCTGTTCCTTACTTATTATCCATGTTATTTTAACAGTTTTTATTACATTTTTTTATTCTCTGTGTGTGTGTGTGTGTGTGTGTGTAGGTCTGATGACAACTTGTAGGCATCCATTCTCTCCTTCCAACTTGCAAGTCCTGAAGACTGGACTTGCAAGTTCATGGTAGCATGAATCTTACTTGCTAAGTCATTCAACAACTTCCATTCATGTTACAACTTAACTAAAAAGAAAATTCCCCAGGCTGGAGTGATGATCGGACACAACTCAGGCCCAGAGAAGGGCAGCACTCACTTCCCCTCTGGCCTCTTGACTTTCCCCCGCTGGTATTTCACAGGTCGTGCTAAAAGGGGGCCTGTGTAAGGATTATTTTGAAATAACTGTGGCGGGAATTTAAAGTGCAAGGTCTACATGGGTGTGCCTGTCAGTGCATTCACTAATTGTGACCACAGTCGTGATCATTACTGCCTTTTGTCTCTGAGTCCAGGTTCTGACTTAAAAGAGTTCATGGGCTAGAGGCTAAGGTTGCAGTGGCATAAGTCAAGAGAGAAGGATTTCCCGTGAGTCTGTTACACACTGGAAGAACTCTACACACAGAGTAGGTGGAGTGAGAGAACCCTTAGAGTCTCCAGAAGAAGGATAGGCTGCCAGGGTAGTGAGTGCAGAGAAGACTCTGGAGACCTTTATGCCAGACATTAGCCCTTGATTCTGTAGCCGGGGAGGAGCGACTGAGAGGTCATGTGGTATTATCAGGTTTACAGTTCAGAAAGGTGATATGGTCCTCCTGGTAGAGGATGTTTGTGCCAGTGTGTGCTATTAGGGACAGAAAACAAAATGCAAAATCTGTTAGGAGATTGGGAGAGGTTCTGGGTGAGCAGAGGCAAGCCTGATGCCCTTTCCAGCCCCGTCACCCTCAGCACTGTGCTCTACCTCCTGCGGTTCAGCACACCGCACTTGAGTGCAAACTTCCTTGGGACTTTGCCTAAGCATTTTTCCAGCTGCAGAGGCTTCGCCTGGAGGCTGGTTTGTTATTTCTACCAATTCCACACACCAGTGCCTTTTCTGCCTTAGTATTCTCTGATGTTGTGGCAATGTCATTGTATTAATAGCTGCTGAACAAAGGCCTTGCGTGGCCATTGATGACTCTTGGACAAAGTGGCCTTCCAGGTAACTGGAGAATATCGTGACGATTAGATGGAGGCTGCAATACTCCTAAGCCTGGAAAAGGACTTGCTAGTACATCTCCAGGACACTGTTAGAACTTGTAGCCCATTTTGGAGATACTTAGATGAATTTTCCGTGCCTTTTGCCCTCAGTTGAATATTGAAGCTCTTCGGGAGAATCCTTACTTTGAGTCCAAGGAGAACCTTTCTGCTGCATTGGAGGTCATCTTGGAGCGTGTGGAGGACTTCACCGATTCTGCCTACACCAGCCATGAGCACAGGGAACGCATCTTGGAGCTGTCTACTCAGGCGAGAACAGAACTGCAACAGTTCATTTCCGTGTGGATGCAAGCTGTAAGCACTGTGTTCATTAGAGTAAATGTTGGGCAATAGCTTTTCACTTAGTGTTTAGAGAGGTGTGGAAGGTACCACAACCAACAGGGCTATGAATTTGGTTGGTACAGGACAAGCATGCCTTATCCCCTTTCTCCCTCCCAGTGGGCAAAACTATGCTTCCGTGTGGCTCACAGCACCTGCCATGTTCAGGCTGCTGATTCTCCTCTCGGCCAGGCTGGATTCAGTGCCATCATCACCATCTATAGTTTCCCTGTTTTCTCTTCTGCCATATTCATTTCTGGAAAATTCCTCCTCTTAATGCTTCTTTAGTGTGGAGAGCAGAGGAATAAACCTATTAGAGGTCCTTGAAACATGAGTCTGCTGCTGGTGCCATTCAGATGTGCAGTGCGCCGAGGACAGCTGATGTACAGACAATATTTTAGAATGCTTATTGGGGTCGGGAGGCAATGAAGATCAGAGCAGATCTAGCTGTAGGTAAAAGAGACTGTTACTCTCATACAGACTCCTGGACTAAGGCAGCTAGCAGCCACTAAAGAGGCCTGAGTGCATGCTTTCACCACGGGAGGCTGTTCGAGCAGGGTGGGTGAAACTACAGAAGTGTGACAACACAGGAAGTTTGTTCCAAGTCTCATAACAGTGAAGCAGGAGCAGGGGTGGAGGGGAATAAAAGACATTAGTTTTAGACACAAATTTATTAAGAAACTTTGGTTTATAGTTGGTGTGGAAAAGGCAATGGAATAACTCAAATTCTATCTTCTGCTGTAACCTTAAACAGGTAAATTAAAGCAATGCTTCAACCAGGTCTGGGAGTATACCTCAGTGGTAGAGCACTTGGCCTCCAGAGTTTTATCCATAGCACCACAAAAACAAACAAAAGTACTTTTATTATACATAGTTGAGTGGTATTAAAATGTACTATAATTTATAGTGAAAACTGAATTGGTAAGAGATTAAGAAGGGAAAGTGACCTACATGCCTACTTCTCAACATTTCAGCAAAGCAGGAAGACCAAGAGTGCTGCCGAGGAGCTAGAACTCACTGTCCTGAAGGTCAGCCACGGGCTCAACGAGCTGAGGAAAGAGGTGAGGAGTCTGACACCTAGCCTCATGCTGTAGGACACATGGGAAGCCCGTGCGCATTAGTGCGTTCCTGTGGCCACACGGTGCTTGACTTTTCCCTCCGGTCATTAGTGTGAAGTCACACTTATTAACACTGACATTCTCAAAGCTCACGCATGAATAGGTGTAGCAGCCCTTTTCACAACAGCTGGGAACCACCTGGATGTCCAGCAACAAGGGTTACTGATAGGCGAATTGATGATTGCTCTACCAAATACTTCCCAGCAGTAAGATGACTCACAAAGCGCACTGCACACTGAGTACAAGAGGCGGGCACAGAAGACCGCGCAAGCGTGTGCTTCCACACTTTTCTAAAAAGTCCTCGGTGAGGAAGAGTCAGGCCAGTGGCTTCTTGGGATCGGAGATTTTGAGATATTTACTGCAAAAGGGCAAAGGTGATCACTTTGGAGCCATGGAGATACTTGAAATATTGAGTGTGGTGGGAGTTGTTCTATCACTGAAGTATCGGCAAAACTCCTCAAACTGTGCCTTTAAACTGGGAGCATTCTGTGTGTAATTATGCCTCATTGAAGTTAAAGTTGGTTTTCTTCCAACGTCCTTGAGTTGAGGAGATTTCCTTGTTCCAGAAGGAAAATGTGTTTGTTCATCCATGACTGACTTGGGCACTTGGAATTTCAAGTCCTATGGTCACTTTTTAGCCGGGTTTAACCATGCTGCCACTTAGCCATCTGGTTTTGTGCCCACTGTCCCGTGAGCACACTTTGCACATGTGTGTGCATTGTATCAACTGTTCTCTCTCTGTGACACACAGCTGTTCTCTCTCTGTGTCACAGCTGCCTCTGTGTCTGCAAAGCCTAAATATTTGCTGTCTGGCCCTTTGTGAGAGGGTCAAGCTCTGGTTTGTTTTCAGGAAAGAATCAGAACATTTCTCCTAGTGTCAGCATTTTTCATGTGGCTGTAGGACTTCCCCACAATTCCATCGTACCCCAGCCCCTGCTGGAGCCTTCATGGACCACACCATCACTTCCTTTGGCATTCCTGTGCTGTCGCTGTGGGTCCTGGTTTTTGCCTGGCTGTGGTACAATAGAGAAGACAGGAGGCTGAGGGTGGAAGGTTTGCTGTGACCTGTGCTCTTATGTGTAGTAATTGAAAACCAGGTTTTGTTGTTGGTTTATGCAGATCTGGGAATTGAGCTTTGTTCATGTTAGGGAAGCGCTCAACCACTGAGCTATAGCCCAGTGACAGATGGCATCCATCACACTATGGCTTCATACTGTAGCTACAGTACACTGACATTCTCTCTTATGAATGCTTTTTGAGGTTTTTCAGAAGTTCTATGTTCCTACAGCACAATACTGCAACTCCATGTCAAATTGTTCCCTTCAGACCCTCCTCACAGAAACCTCTCCACCCTTATCTCTTCTTTGTTCATTCTTTTGTGCTTTTGAAGCTGGTCCAAGTCTGTGGAGAATGAAATGGGTTCTGGGCATTTGTTTCTGCCCTGTATACAGGTGACCTTTTTCACATCTTAACCAGAGACCGCTCTATTGAGACTTCCTTTAAGCTTCCTGTTAAAGGATGTGATTTCCCCAACTGTTTGATTTCATCATATTAAGATTAAATTAAATGCTGAAACACTGAACTATGAGTGCAGCCCGAGAGCCTTCTGCAATAGGATCCCTTCCCACGGTCTGCCTCCTTGCCACGTCAACCCTGAGTTCTTGTAAGGTCAGATTAAGAGACCCGACTCCGGGAAGCTGCTCTTGGACATTGCAGGCAGGGACAGAGTATTTGTCCTGATTTCTTCTCTTCTGTTGTGAGTGAGTTGTCCTCGGGATG